TTCCTTCCATTTTCTTCTTTCAGGAAAGATACGTGATCTACTTTTAAACGTTTAATGGTAAGTGGGATATCCTTGCCTACATTCGCTGTAAATATGTGACGCGTCACTTTGCAATAAATATCTATAGTCGAGTAGACAATCCGTCAGATAAGGATAATTCCGAAAAAATTATTGTTAATATTCCGCTCGACGCTAAATGAAGTGATAATCTGCAATGACTTTTGGAATAATATGGTGCCGAATGTGGCCGCTGCGCCTGCTAAATGTCAATGTACTGTCTGGTATATTCTGAATTAACATAGATTTGAATTTCAGTTCCCATCGTCATGTGACTACAGGGAAATGTTAAATAGTGTCGAGTTTATATCCAAACAAATAGAAACCCCATTGCCACGGTCCACCATTACAAGTCCTAGCCCACCTTACAGTTATTTATATAACAGGTTTTTAAAACAAGACATTATATATAAGTGTTCGCGAAGGTTCGTCCCATTCGATCTACTTTCAATGGTATTCGTGCTTGGGTTAGTGTACCAAATTTTTCAAAAACTGCGGCCTATACGTTGAACACAAGAAATCAAGGCGGACAGACGGACAGACAAGCGTACATCGATTCAACAAATGCTTCTAAATCGATCAGTATAAAATGTTTAACAAATGTTGCATACAGTTTTAGACATAAGTAAATATTGAGAGCTGATGATGGGAGGGAAGAGATCTTTTAACAGGTACGTAAATAAAAAACAACAGTTTTTGTAAACTGTGCGTTGATTATATAAAAATGATTTGTGTATTGCCCATCGCCACCTATACATTTTTCTCATCTGTTTGACAGATTGGGTATCTCACACTACTTTGAAGCAAACAAATCAAACAAATATTAATCTAACGGAGCAAAGACTGGTAGGTAAGCCTCATGACCTAGAACTTTCAAGTTGTGTGCACTTAACGTGGCATAGCCCTGTTGTGCCAAGTGTCTTGTATCGATTTTCTTAATTGTTGTTAATAGCGTTCGATAATACTCGTTTCACAACTAAGACGAGATCATACCGTTCTGGCACCACCAAACAGGTTATCTTGCTGCGATGAATCGTCATCGCTTTGTCATAGATGTCGAATTTTTATCCACCTTTCACTCCCTTTAACTGTATTATTCCAAAACGGCTTTCTCTTATGTCGTTCGGGTAAAGAAAACCTGTTGCCGACATATGTTCGTTATTTGCGCTATGATATTTGTTAGCACTAGCAAGGGTTATTATTGCCAGACGTCCAAACTATAAAAAAAACACAACTCCAGGCATATATGTTCCCTACAGTCCTACTGGTACGAGTAAATTCCTACTTCATTTGTAACATACATAGCTAGCATGGGTTAAGTTGACACGCCGCTCTGTGTTTCACTGAGATTCAATTTTTAATACACTTTCATGCAGTCGATAATATTAAGAATGGGAAGGCGTTAATCTGTGAACAATGCGCCCCATTATGCATAACATGAATCGAAATTGTTTTTGTCACGGAAAGTATGCATGATGCTGTTCGATAAGTCACAGGTGCTGCTGCATTCGAATATGTATTCAGTTTTTGCTTATTGAGTTTAGGTGTATTGCGACAGGTCAATATTCATTTATCGAAATGTAGCAAAATGCTGGATGTTGGTTAATTTGCTACGTGTTAATTATCCTCAGTTTCGAACTTTACCTCGGCAATCTATAAGCAAGTTCAAGCGAAGAATTAGAATTGCTTCGTGTTTGTTTTTTGCCCCAACACTGAGAGTCCTGACAGCATTTAAAGTGATTGTTATATGTGCCGAGAATTAACTTTGAAATCACGAAAACGAAATTTCTCTACTCTTGTGAGAAAGTGCGACGAACTTTATTTCTGAATTAAGAACCAACGAAGAAGGAATAGTATGCTCTTTGATGTGATACTCTGTTGAGAAACGGTTCCCCGGATTTAGAAAGAATCACAAAAGTGTGAAACAGAGATTCGCACGTCGATATAATATTTGGGCCCGAGTAAAATGAGTAACACTTATGGTCTTAGCGATTTAATTCATCATTTAAATCTGCCGAAGCTGAAGCGAACAAGCTGAGCCTGAGTCTTCTACAGAAATTATGCAATGAGATTTTGATTTGGCAACAAACTAGAATGTTTTGTGCTTCTGGCAAAATAAAAAAAAAACTTTTTTCCTTTGTTGTAGACCAGTGTAATTTATATAAAACGCCTACGGTTATATTTCAGACAAAGTAATGCAATTTGTTTGCGTTAAACTGCAGCATTATTGTGATGCGGGATGACAAGATGAACGTTTTGCATTTAATAATAATTAATCTCAGTCAAATGTTCCAGAATGGGTGAAGCTCACATAATTGCAAGTTATATTAAATAATGAGAACAAATGCTCAAAGTGCTTAAAACAATCATTTGATATTTCATATACGATGATAATGATGTTATAGTAAAAGAAGCTATTTCCTTAATCTTCTTAGGTAAGAAAGAAGGTGCGAAGGATTCCTGCACAAATAAAACAAATTAAAGTATCCGCTAATATTATCAAATCTTTATTATATCATCGTTAATCCAAGGGCACGGAACTAAAGGAACTTAAAACAGTAGCAGCAAATGCCAAATTGTTTCTTTTTACTTTCGTTGAAAACAACAATTTCAAAGATAAAAGTCCAAGAGCATGTGTTCCAAGTATGAGTACTGACAGATTCCGGAATAGTTTATGACTTTCCTATTGACCACGATGTGAAGCGCGTCCCCAAAAATGCCTTATCTGATATATTAAGCACATCTGCTAGAAAATAAGGACAATATTATCTCCACAACCATAAAGACATAATGTCGTAAAGACTTTAAGGGAAAGTTGGATCCAAAAGCTAGGAAATTTTATTTGTTTTGTGCTTTCCGTTTACGTTACCATTCCAAATTTAAAGCAATGTTCCAAATGTTGCACGTTTGACCCAAAAAATTTAAAGGTGTAACTGTTGCCAGGATCCCCTGTGTTCGAAGAGAAAACAGATTTAACAATGTAATGGCGGAGGAAAACAAAAAGAAATAAAAGTATTCTTCACTCTCCTATGTACACCTACCATAGACGATGACCATTGAGAGGAATAGTTCCCATTTCTCCTAAATTTCGAGGGAAGGAATGAAAACAAGAAAAATACCCATCCCAAACGGCCTCCGCATCAGACGCACACACCCACTTATTAAGACGTCCCACCAAAATCACTCAAGAGCCGACGATGTGTATTAGCAACGTCCGCAAAGGAAAGATTAATGTCTAAATTGAAGCAATGGTTTACGAGCTTGCCTTCTTAAGAATACAGAGAGAAATTTGAGAAAAAATCAAAAGATCTTTAAGAAGAATATTTGTTTAATTTGTTTATGTAACATCAATAGCATCTAATGAAACGCTTTCGAAGATAAATTGGCCAACTTTAAACCAAGTAAATGATAACATTCTTCAAAAAGCGAATCCTCGAGACTTCAAACGCATGGTCTGCTTTTTTATAATGCCAACGTGCCTACGTCAACGTTATTTCAACGTATTTGGGTTATTTTAAATATAATATTTGTATATATAACTCTACAAGTTATAATGGATGATATAAAAGGTTTGAGCGGTTTTTTGGTTTTCTTTGGAGTTTCTTTTACTAGCCTGCTCTTTTGAAATGATTCCAAACTGACTTTTTTTGTAGCAAATAATATCACATAATATATTTCACTCTTTTTCAAAAAAAAAAAAAAAACTTTTTTCACTGGCAAAAGAATAAGAAAATTGTTTTCTCAAAAAAAGTGCAAGCGGAAATGTTACCTTTTAAGCACTTGTTCGTTTCAAACGACCGGGTGAGTGTTGCCCTATATACATAGAGGCATCAATACCACCCATATCACCCATTAAAACTTATTAAAAAGTCGGACTTAACAGTTAGATGTTATATTAACTATATTCATAGCATTTCAATATCTAAAAAAAGAAACTGGGTGTAAGAAAGTGTAGAAACAAACAAAATATAGATCATTTTCAAAGCAACTGAAAGCGTTGAAGAGAATATAATTCCTTCTGTTTATATGTAACAATACAAGGCAATAGGCAGCAAGGCAACCTATGCTCTGCAAGGATTTCTACTCTCTTCCCTTTTCAATGTATTTATGCGATTATTGTACTTACCACCTACAAAAGGAGGTATATTCATTTTGTCAAAAACTTTGTACCACCAAGAATGAAGCTTTAAAGGCCCTCTTCTATCTTGCTCAGCATTAAATTCTAAATCGCTTTAAGCGATTGTACGATAAACACTTTCCTGGCCGCAGTACTTAAGCTATTCGCTTAAAATTTTGCAAAAGCATTGAAAGTTTTCATGCACAAGTTGGTATTGAAAAGGAGCAAAATTGATCAAGGAACACACCCACAGTGCAACATAAACTGGGAACACCTATGTGTCCTGGCTTTTTGCAGATTACTCATAAACCGCAAAAAACGCTCGATAAACATTTCCACGAATATTCTGCAAAGGTGGAAGAGATGAACCACGTCCACCCAATATTGTAGTAGGCTGAAATTTAATTTTATTCTTCTTTTAAGTCTCTTTTAGGGCAAAGAAGATGGGTATAAAGAATTCGGTCACAGCTCAACATAATTTTCCTATTTATTAAACTCCTTTTTCTCGCGGGTATGTGTGGTGTTAATGGTATCGCCTTTAGTTGCGACCCATTGAACAATAACCAATTCATTCGTTAATAATATTTTGCTTTAGCTTTTTCTATCGCTTCGCTATTAAAAAAAGAGAAAATATTTAAAATTGTTCTGTCGACTGCTTTTGCTTGAACCATTTCCACTGTCTATGTTTTAAAATCTTTGAAAATGTTATGTGACCCAATCGAGCAAACACGCCTACCTATACGTGTAGTATATAAAATTAGAATTTTATTTTAATCAAAATAAGGTCGACCATTTCCCATCCAATAAAATTAACTATTTCGTATTATAGATAGATAAAAGTAGAAAATTTATTTCCTAATCTTTTTAATATAAAAAACGATTACTTCCTTAGAGAATAGCAAGCAATTTTCTTTCTTTTCTTGTTGTTCTTGTTCATTTTAAATTCAATTTCATAATCCGCACTATTTACACCCATGAAGGAATGTCATCCTCATCTTCTTGAGATTCCCAGTCATCAAATTCCGATTCCTATAGTAATATTTATCAAAAACTTATTACAGTGGAACGGAGACTTTGAAGGCTCTCTTTAAACACTTACGTAATCGTTTATGTCGAAATCTTCAACCAGATTCGTACTGGGCGAGCAGGCTAGATAAGCTACACCAGTATTATAACCAGAACATTCACACGTCTGGTTAACTTTCGGTATTGCAGTTTTAACCACTCGTTTAGCGAATATTGTGGCAAAACGTTTTATTGGATATTTTCGTTCGGGCATTAATCTTCGAGCGCTAAAAACAGTTCCATCTGTCTCCAGGGCTAGGGGAGTGCATATTCCCAAATTATTTCTAGATATATGCAATTGGCGACGAGCTTCAGCATCGCCTTCGGGGAAACGCTTTGAATAGACGAAATTTCGATCCAAACCGAAAAAGTGTCGCAGTTTACGTGTCTTTTCGAACTCAAATTCAGTGTCAGCTAAGATGTGGAGATTAACACCCTCTTCCAACATGTACTGTAGTATCGACGTATAATCAAAACGCATATGCTTAGATGCACAATTGCTGCACGGTAAGAGTATGAATGTTTTCGAAACACCTGGGCGGAAATTAAGATGTGTTGCGGTTGAAATAGCCTGAAGTATGTCATGATTTGTGCCGTTGCCGGTTTTAATATATGAGAAGTATTTCGTTAATTTATTATAGTCTGCAGTGAATACGGAATTTTCATGGTAAATGCTGCGAGGTTTATCAAAAGGTGGTAGGCCGCCAAAAGAAATTACCGCGTAACTAAAATTTAAAAAAAAAATGAAAACATACTCTTATAAGTGGATCTAGAATTTGAAGTTTAATTCCTTCACTTACCGATTATTGGAGATTTGTTGTAATAGCAGTTGGTCTTCTAGAACTGATACCACTGACATAATGCTTTTGTTCTCCATGAGGTTCTCATTGCATGGCTTTGCTTCTACTATAAATACAATATCACTGCTTCGTGGCACCTGAGAGTCACTTAATTGAACAAATGTTCCTTCCCCTACAAAGGAGCCATTATCGAGTTGACAACTAAAAAAATGCGTAGATATTAATCAATTGGTGACTCGCGTATTCCCTTATGTACTTATGTACTTACTAAATGCATTGTTCCGGCACACGCAAAGGAATATGAGCATTTGTACAAGCTTCTATGTATGCTAACGCAGCTGCACAAGCTCCTTTATTAACTGGATTTTCGGGTTGTAGTGCATTTGCATCACTTCCCAAATCTATGCAAATTTCGTAAAACGGTTTAACATCCAGTGTGTCCGCGCAAGCAGATAGTATGCCCGATGTGAAGAAATCATCGCAAATTTTCTTCACCTTTTCAGCTACACTTAGTTCTAAATTTACAGGTTTAGTCTTTTCCTTGCAACCGCCGAGACTCCAAGAGTCCGTAAATTCATGGGCATTCTCAGTAATGTAATGCTTGGAGGTAAGCAAATCATCAAAAGGTTCATTATTCATCGTACCTAATACGCCAGCGGTATGACCAAAATACCATCCGCTTATTTCAATCCAACAAAGATCAAACTGAATATTACAATTTAAAATGAACTCAGTACCCGAGCTAATCGTAAGAATGTCATTTTCACGGTGCACTATAGCCTCGCCCGCTTTGAAAGGTAGCAATATCTCTGAATCGCCGTTTATGCTGACATGCTGTAAAGATATATTTTTTATCTTGCTCATCTTTCAGGTTTTAAGTTCTGCATCGAGGTGCTATGTTTAACTCTCGTTTAATAATTTAATTTAAAAATAACAATAATGATCCGTTGCACGCTATACTTTTCAGTTTATGATCCCAACAAAAAAGAAGTAAAACCATTATAGTCCGTCACGCTTCACCATTAAATACCCTATACCGCTTCTTGTAATATAGTTTTTTATATAACGGCTCTTTGCAATAAGGTGTAAGAAATGATCGAAGAAGTGGTCCGATCCGAACCATTTTCAGTAGCGTTCTATGGACCAAAAGACGTTGGTGAACCAAATTTTATTAAAATATTTCAATAATTGCGGCCGGCAGGTTGAAAAAGAACGCGAGGCAGCCAGACGGACAGAAAATGGATAACGTCACTCAAACGGCTCAAGGATTGTTAGCTAAAAGTGGAAAATCAACTAAATCGATTCCTCCGCAAATCGTTATGAATCGAACAATTTTTGAACGCGGCTTATCAACAGAAAGCCTATGGCAAAACTTAGGGCTCTAAATTAAATGCTCTAAAGTTTTGAAAATGCAATTAATTAAAGGGACAGCTATACCCTAGTAGAGCGAATGGTGAAAGCAACCCCCGATTTCATTCAAAAAAATTTGAATCCACCCACTAGACAATGTTTCATTTCAAGTCCCCACTTCACTCTGGTCATAAACATATGACAGGGGTTTCGATTTCTCCACGACCCATTAATCTTTTATAATGGATATAAAAAAGGGGATATCCGCATCGCATATCATACTTACATTATTTCCAAAATCGATTTCTATTAGTTGATCCGACACGATGAAACTTAATTTCCTGCTAGGAATCATGGCATTATGTTGCAGATTTGCCTATAATGACAGCAATAATATCAACCCCAAAATGATAATGTTCCCCTAATGTTTCGCTTACCGAGGGCTCGAGTAGTAAAGTAAAATTTTCTTGGAAGAAATCATGTGCCAACAAGTAAAAACATTGATTATTTCGCTCAAAATCTTTTCTCATGCTCACGAAACGGTTATCAAATGTCATATAATGATGTGAACCAATTAAGAGGGCTCGGCCTAAAAGTGTATAGATAAACCTATTAGTGAAGCATAAAAAGTCGTAAGAATTTCTTAGCCTTACAAACCTTGATATGGAGGTAACCAAGTTTTTGGATCAAAGTGTTGTCGCAAATTGTATATGTAACGTATTAGCGAAGTGTTAGTCGTTTTAAAGAAGTTTCGTATCTTTGCTACCAATTTGTACTCGGGTATTTCCGCAAATCTAGGCGTTTCATTGAACGCGTGCCAAGACATTGGTAACTTTTGCTCGATATCCATAACTCCTACGTCAGGATCGAAAATAAATTTTGTTTTCGCCTCGCGATACATATCTGCCGTTTCAACAGCATTGGTAGCGTAATTATGCAGTTTATTAGCTATCAAGTAATAAAGTTGACGCAAACGGACTTCCAACTGTAATTCTTCAGCTACCCATTCTAACTTTTCCATAAGCTTTTTATATTTCCGTACGATCAAATCGACTTGTTCGATTTTTTGCAATTCTTTAATCTCTTCCCAAATCTCAGTCAGCACTTCATTCAATTCAGCACCGAATGGTACGAGTTTAAAGTACTTTTCTTTAATGAAATTCCATGCAATATTTGAATATTTTTTCATATTTGAGACGGCATCGCGTGACTTGATATCTCTGTATAGACGATCAACATCTTGCGTAAAACTGGACACTTTATTGAAATAGGGTGATTCAGCGAGTGCGTTTGTTCGCTTATAAATAAAATCGAAAAGCTCCTTGCTAAGATCCCAAGCAGCTTTCTCTGCATAAGTGATAAATTTGAAAAGATACGGTTCCAAGCGTTTCAATACGCTTTTCCAGTAATTTGCCATCATATTCCAAAATTTGTTCCACAGATTTTCAACGTATTTTATAAAGGAAATGTGTAAGTCCTTTATAAATCTATCATATTTGTGGACACCCTTTTCCATTAAATCGGATAAATAGCGCAGAGATTCGCCATGAAAGAAACGAGTGACAGCACTTAATATATTATTATATGCTTTTTTAACCGTTTCAATTAACCATGCAATACTGTTACGTATAGCCTTGCCTGAATCCCCCATGGCCTGCCAAATTTCTGTAAATATTTTTGGTAATGAGCCGATGTGATCTCGAATAGCAAGCTCATCAATCATAGTTAACGTAAAGTTAAGCACAGTTTTTATGTAAAAATCATTGGCTTCATACGATTCATTTACAAATTGACGCAAATCTTGGAAATCCTCCTCCAAAACACTTAATTGTTCTATGTCGTCGAAAAATGCTTGATTATAATTTCTCGTTGTATCCCAAATGATACCAATTGCTTCCATTGTTTCCGAGTATAATGATTTAATCCAGAAATCGATACCTTCCGAAATTAAATTGTATAAGGAATTACCAATGGTATTTATTTTTTCTTTAATTTCAGCCCTTAGCTTAGGTCGCCAATGAAATCGTCCAGTTATCAAACGTGAATGATTCATTTTCAAATACGAACTAATATCGATTATGCGGATTTCTTCGTAATTCCTCCAAACATCCAGATAACCGCTTCGGGCATCTGGTATGAAGCCAATCAATTGCAAGTTCTGACTTGCGTCCTCTGTAAGGTTCACTTCGGCTCTTATAAACTTCTTCTCCAAATCGATATAAAGATATCCTGTATCGTTCATGTCTGGAGTGTCCCAAATAGTTGCGTTTAGTCCATATAAAGGAAAATTAAGAGTAGGTATAGCCCACACTCTCACCGATCGATGCGGAGATTCACGCTAAGAACGAATTTAGGTAAGTTTTTTTTTTTTTAGATTAAATCACGCACTTATACATACAATATATTCGATTTCCTTTTTATCCACGTCAAGCGAAGTTAAAAATTGCCCACGTCTGTCGTCGTAGAACGAACGTTTATAATTCGCATCGAATTTGGTCATGTAAAGTGTCGGCTCCATTATTACTGTGCCATTGAGTTGAAGTTCCAAATCCGAGGCCATATGGTGAGCATTCAATTGAAGTAAATAGTTTGTGCTACCAAGATACTGATGCATGTCTTTCAAAACTAATCCTACACCTATTAAATGGTCTGGCTCATCCGAATAATCGATCACACAATCGACTTTGAGGAGTTCAGAAATGCCGCGATAATATTTTGCTTTCATAACCACGTCCTTCTCCAAGTCTGGATGACCCACCGTAACAATCACTGTTTGATGCTCCTTATCATCGTTAACTAAAGGTTCCGCCTGCCAAATAAGTCCAGTACGCAAAACTTTCGCATTCTTCTTAAATGAATTTACGTTAGCCCATTTAAAGAGTACATCTGATGAAATTTTCTCTTCAGTAACGTAATACCATCCTTCAGCGGATAAATTGCGTTTAGGATAAAACAAATCGATTGCGAATTTTCCAGAATCATTGCCAAGCTTAAGAAAGAAACAAGAATAAAGTAACAACGCATTATGTCGCTCACTTACTTCCATCTTACCGTAGTGTAATTCTTCAATAATATATTATAACCAATCCAGGCTGTTGCTGATAATTCCAATTTACTTCGATGTTTTAGAATGCGCTCGTCCAACATATCATAGCTCGTCGTTACTATTACTGTTCGATTGGGATGAATAGCTATGATTTTAAGTTCTTGTCCATCTGGTCTTGTTAAGGTATGCAGTTCTCCTGTCAAATTGAAATTCAACGCATTCTGCAGCTCATAGACTTCAAGATGCTTTTCATCCATTATTTCAACAGGTCGACTTATATCTTTTTTATGCGTATAATAAACTCCTAGCGGTTTCAAATCATTTTGTATTCGCATATTGATTGTCTTTGTACGAAGTGGGTCCCCGCGATCATCTGTACAATTGTAAACTCCGTCAAGAATTTCATTATTATTGTAAAATATCTTCAAGAATCCATCGTCAATTGAGGGATTTTCATTGAAATTGTATTTGACATCAGTCTTATGCCTCGTAGCTAAAGGTATTTCAATTTGTATTCCACCCTTAAGATTCTTATTTAATGATTGAGTCGTGTTGATATTGTGAAGTTCAAAGAAAGCTGTGTCTGTTGGCCAAGTGCCTTTGCAATACCGGAAAGTCTCATCGCTATGTATAATTATAACAAGATAAATAAGAGATCAACGCACAACTTGCTTTAAAGTTCAATTATGCATTGCAAACTTGCTTACGTGGTTGTAGTAAAGTTAAAATCTGCTTTAAACCAACTCATGTTCGTAAACGGTGTTGTGCTATTTAGAAAACCGTGCATGTTCGAGAATGTACTGAAGAAGATGTCAAAATCCGCTATTTGCTGGGATGCTGGATAATTTATCGCACACCTACACAACAATATCATATGTGACAATCATACGAAAATAACATTATTAGCTCCAATATTTCGCAATAAAGTGTTTCACAAACAATTAAGGATACATACACCAAGTTGTGATAATCCTTTTCATTCATATCGTACATGCCGTTCATGGAGAAAGTGTCCTCATTCTTATGCATTGGTGTAGACATTTTGGCATGGAACTCACGGCGACGTTCAGATTTCTGCAACATATGAAAATCGCCTGCTATCGTCGATATATTGCTTAATGTTCCCCATTCTAAGTGACCTAAGCCGTGAAGATCCGTTGAATTCTTATATGATATACGGCCTAGACATTTTCTCTGAGCAATATCCGAATTATAACTTCCTTCCAAAAATAATTGTGGTCCCTGACCTCGTTTGCTAATTAAATTGCCTCGATAATTTAGATCAAATCGATGCATATCTCCAACTGGTGGTGGCAAAGCGGCGTCGAGACCGACGCGAATATCTTCAGTGGACATATAATTGAGCAAGCCATTTAAGCTTAATTTCCATTTAGAGTCAACATCCAATTCTCCTCCTGTTTCTGCTTGTTGAAAGTTTTGTTTCGGGTTTATATATTTCGCACTGACATGTACAGCCCTTGGACCTGCATTAGGGCGTTCCATATAACTCTTAAGAAGAAGTTGCATATTTTCAGCCAACAACCACGACCATTGGAAACAACCACGGCCTATACTCTGTCCAATGCGATATTCGCCACCCACATTTCCTCCGTATTTAAGAACAGAAAAATTCGAATTCAAATGAACGGAATCTATTCCGAATTCTTTCCAAGGTGTATCTAAACTAATGTCACTAATAACGTGGCTGCTGTTGTGAGCAATCATTTTTCCCCGAAAATCGATATGTTTTATATCGGGCACCGTTGATTTTATCGTAGTTAAAACCTCTACAGTATTTTTGTCTTGTAACGAGTAAATACCGGATATATGCCATTTGTTGCCATTATTTTCACTGACATCGAAATTGAATTTTAAATCTTTAGACGTAGTACGATCGAACTCGCGTACGCTGAGCGATACAGTTCCTTTGCCGCCATTACGGTCTTGAATACGTAAGCTAGCATCGGTTGGATACTTTTCATTCGTTTTCACTACACCCGCTATTGCATAGGTAGCCATATTTCTATATAGGTTCCCAAATATTTGGTATTCGTCCTTATTGTCCTTTGATGGCAAAATTGAGCCGTGCATTGAAATATTCCGATATTCTTCGATGGGTGTCCAGATTTCCACATTGAACGTGTCGTCCTTTTTGATTGCTCGCGAGCCATAAGTAACATGATGCCCTTCCCAGCTGCTGAGAGTCAAATCGCAACTAAGCCTCGGATTCTCGCCTTCAGTAATAACTATAGATAATTCCGCTAACTTCAGAGGAAGCATTGTTGTCTTGATTCTTCCATACGCATTCACTAGGTGAGATACATCTTTAAACCAAGCCGATTCTATATGAAGTTCATTTACAGTATGATTGTCTGTAACCGTAAATTGTATAATTACGGTATTGTCGTTTTCATTAAAATCTTTTTTTATGTATCCATGGCAGCTGTAATGGGGTATGATATTAGAATCGAGAATCACACCTACACTTGATTCAAAAAATTGCTCTTCAGACTGGAAGGAGATGAAGATCGAATATATTAATCATATAATTTTTAGTCGAAAATATTACGGAACTAACCTCTACGGATGTTGCCAACGAAATAAAGGTGTTTATAGTTCGAGATGAGATATTGCCCCTATATATGTTCTCTTCTAATTCTAAACTGCCCCAGATTGCTATTTCGGGCAGAACATTGAACGGAGTTTTTATGTTAATTTTGATCTCATGTTCTTTCGGCTTTACAGAATCCTCGATTTTTGTATAATTAAATTCTATTCCCATTACACTCGGTGGTTGAACAAGATCCGTAACAACGAATTGTATTTTCTCGTATAAATGTTTAAAATATATGTCTGTGTGATATTCAATAATAGACTTCAGTTGCGGAGCTGCTGCAAATGGTGTATTTATAGTGAGTACATTTAAAACTGTGACGTAATCTGGAAAAAACAGTCGATCCTTAAATTCAATTTGTCCTTGTGGCAACTGTATATTACCCATTATAAGGTAATAGTCCATAATTTCCTGCATATCCACTTTCCCATGAATCGTGGGCCATACAACGGTATCAATTTCAAAGTCGACGAAATATGAGAAAAACTCATCATAATCCAAGTCATCAATATCGTAATCATCAGAAACATCCATTTTAGGCGGGTGGAAGTCGTCATCGTACAATATTTCGAGTTCAATTTTGTTGCCACCCAACAGATTAAGAAGCTTGGATTTAGGCGTACCATCGATTTTTATTCCCAATTTATACTTGGATAATTTTCCATGTAAATGCAAAATAAAAACGTCTTTCTTAGTAAATTTTACAATGAAACCGTTTTGTTCGAAACCCTGCAAGGGCGTGAACACTGTATATGAGTACTCAAAGTCCGTTCTATTCGCGCGACGCCAAACGCCCGTAAAGCCTAGTGTTGCATTATTCCAAATACCATGAATATCAAGTGTGTCGGGCTTTATTTTGCCAAATAATGCTGCCTGCTGGAAGTTGTCCAGTGGTGCGGCGATACTTAGCTTGACATCAAAATTTGTCATAGATATTATATCGCAAAGTATTTCGGCTCCTACTACTCCCAAAGGTGCTCTTACTTCTGCCACCGCATGACGTCGTTTATCATTTAATCCAAATCTACCGTTAATACTGCGAAAGTTTTCAAGAGGTGTTGTTATGTTTATTGTTAACATGTTGTCAGAAAATCTACGAATATAACCGTCGATTGCAAGCGTGAATTCGCGTATGTCAAAGTCAAGTGAAGCTGCTCCTTTGATTTCTCGCCGATCATTAAACATGAACTTGGTTGCTAAACCGCCTTTTCGGTAACCCTCGAATGGACTCAACATAAACATAGTACCAGTTATGTTTTGGAAACCTGCTTGCTTTGACAATTCCCAGAGGGACTTTATGCTATAGACATTAATACTGCTGTTGGAGTCGCTGTATCTCAATTTAAAGTCTGTATCAAACTTTTTCATATTTTGCCAATGTGTTAACTTAATATTTATTATTGGAACATCTTTAATTGTACTATTTATACCGAAATATAAGTCCAAATTCGTAATTGGCTCATTAAATTCATAATCACTTTTATATGCAAAGTCCAGACTTTGATCTTCCGCCCACAGAAGAGATGAATTTACAAGAATGAGACGATCATTAGTATAAACTCCTGCTTGTAAGCCATTTTCAGCCCATCCGTCAAATGGAGTCTTCAACTGAACCCGAATCCAATTATGTATATTTTTACTAGGCATCACGCCAGCGCTGTAGCTAAGAACAATTATCTCATTACTGCTCCAGCTGCTTCGAAATGAACCGTAATATTCAGGTCCGCCAGTGTACACATCAAACCCACTACTAATCGTGCGATCAGGGTACGTGACCATAATATTAGAAACATACTGACCATCACCAGGATTACTATACTCCCCTGATAGGCCCAAACGTTGTGAAGGATCACGATTAGCATCCCACTTAAGATCAACAGATAATTCTTTTCGGCGTTCTAATGAAATCATTTCAAGCTTAGCGCTAACGTCACGAATCTTGTCCAGATGAATTTCAATATCTAAAAGTTTTGGCTTTTCAGAAAGCAATTTAATATTGGTCCAATAGTCTTGATCCATAACCTTTACTCGGACTGCAGCATTCGAATTATTGTTGGTAGGATTTGTTGAATACTGGGCAGTTAAACTATAGGGATCCTTAGCATAATGTGCTTGAACATCGGTATATATTAGTAACTGATTACGACGATATAGCATTTTAATAGATGTTATTTCAAAGGATGGGCTCTCTAGTATAAGTTTTACGCGATGTATCGACTGCACGCGGGAACTTTTATCTTTGTAATTTCCTCTAACTGATATTGAGTGATTAGTGAACCAGGAACCATTAAAATTGATCTAAAAATCACTTTAAAGATATAGATTAAATGCAAAGAGAATGTCTATGAAAACCCTCACCATAAAGTTTTTGGCTGAAATCTCGTTCACTCTCAAATGAACAACGCAAGAATTAAATTCTGGTACAGTAACATTCATATAGCTGTCTATGACAAAGAGGCCCCTCCTTGGTAGATGCACTGAAAATAAGGCTGTGGCTTCTTTTTCAGGTGCATAGCGAAAACCTAGTAAAGCATTATGCTCAGTACCGTTTTTACTAAGTTCTTCATGCCTAAAAATATTTTAAAAATCATAGTTTAGCTTAGCTTATTGCATGACGTTTAAGAACGTACTTTAAGAGAATTCTGAAATCCACTTTGGATCGAGGCAATTTTACTTCTAAACTTGCCCGTGTACGGCATCCTTCAATTGGAAAATCTTCAGAGTAAGAACGTATGAATATCAAACGCATCGAAGTAGTATAAAAAGGATCCATCAAATCAGGGGCGTTATTATACGTTAGCGTACCCTCCGAGTGACCCTGTAGGTTTAGCCAAGTTCCATTAGAAGCAAAATTAAGTTTTGGATATGCTGATGTCCTTAATTTCATAGTACCGCGATATTCAGTTTTTGCTTTGTCCCCGACATTGGTCAATTTGCTTTCATAGTTAATTGATTCAATTTTATTTGCCTGAAACCTGTAGGTAATTGTCACGTTTGTTAATGCCGTAATTTCAGTCTGAACATAGCTGCCCCGAAGAAGAGCTTGTAACTTCTTCGTTTCAAACGAAATTTCGAAATCATTTTGCATGATGCCGTTTTTTTCCGTCGTACGGACAGTTCCTATTAGACCTGTTATGTTAACACCATTCACAGCCAACAGCATTTTCGGCGTATAAATCCACGTCGTTCGTTCCTGCGAGCGTGTCAATTCCATATTCATTTCTAAGCTTTTGTTTCCATTTGTATCGAGGAAGAAGTCCAATTGACGTTTATCTGGGTTAGTAACATAACTGCAGCCAGCCGAAGTCTTCGACCCGCCACTGACAAATGCAACTGAAGCATTGAAGGCATCAGGAATTGTAGTAACATTAGTGACTAATACGCGTGTTACCGCGGATCCAGGGGTATGAAATAACAGCGACCAATTTGAACTGTTACCTTCTTGTTCCAAATTATATTCGAAAACGTACCGTGTAGCAGTTGGATCCGATTTCTTAAGAATTATGCTGAAATTTGTGGGACCACTTAATAGCAAGCTAGGATATATAATGTTCGGTGAGTTTGAAAGATCAGGAACACTGAAATGTGAACAAATTTGTAAGCCTAAAGCTCTGTTGAGTACTGGCCACGTACATGTACTGTTAGAACGTCGTTGGCTTATACCAACTTGAGATATCTCTTCGTCTTCGGCTAATACAATCAGTTCAGATCTTGCACTGAATATTTCATTGGTTTCTTGTGGTAAGTCGAATGAGAAAGATACCAAATTTTTACCTCTTATCTTTAAGTTTGCCTCAATTTCTGAATTTGAATATAAATTTCCTTTTATTTTGATTCCCGACACCGCATAGAACATATCGGCTTGCAGTGTTGCAATGACATCCACAGAGACAGACGGTTTAAATTTACCTTGTAAATCGAAATGCCAATCAGTATTCGGTTCCATTCGGTCCAAATTACCGGAAATTCGCAAGTCTATCGACGAAGCCGCTAGAGCGTTAACACCAAGCGGTAAGCCAATAGCCATTGGAACATTGTACGATGCATCCAGAAGCACCCGTGACTTGGTGTATGTAACTTCTTGACCAGAAAGAATTTTCGAAATCTGATGGAAAATATCAAGTTCCCTTGTTAATGCTTTAAATTCCGTTATTCCTTCTAACGAATGGTACCACAAATCGTTGCCGAATATTCGTATTCCAATTTGTGTGCGCGGATTGCTGTAATTATAGTTGAGTTTGTAATTCATGCTATTAATTTCACTTTCAATCTGGTCTTTACGATGTCTAAAGTCTTTTGCCAGCGAACGTTTATATCTATTCGATTCTTCGTCATCGTCATAATCATCAATAATTTCGATATTTTCTCTCGATTCTTGAGTACTGCTACGTTTCAAGCGTAAACCGTCAATGCTTAAGATATTATCCAAACCATCTGCGCATAAATATTACTTAATTCACTTTAGTTTAAGTTAACATATATATAATATATACGTACCTAGGTCTTCTGAACTCTCATTACCCAACCAGCGATTAAGAAAGGAAAATTTTTTCCGAAAAATTTCACGATTTAATGGCCCCTTCGGACCAAATATGGATGTTACTAGTTCTTCAAAACCTTCGGCCCGCGCAGAGAAATCAAAAAAATTCACTGATTGCCCAAATAATTCGGCTGTAAAATTTAAACTAAAAGTGCGTGGTAAATAAGAGTCCGTTCCAAAGATTAAATTCAAATCCGTCGTGGTTCCTGCATAAAATAAAGGTTAAGTACTTTAAAATATATGAACTGTTTAGACAAGAGGATGTAAATACCAAAATTGTACTCATCGAAAAATAACGAATGTTCGTAATTTCGAGAAAACTTGCGTATATCCAGCTTAAACCTATTTGACAGATCGTCATTAAGCAGTAAACCTTGGGCTTCAATACGAACGGGCGAGGATGACTTGGCTAAGTTTTTTAGATGTGACCAAACAAACGAGCCGACCTGATTAACTTCTTCGCCCTCCAGGATTGTCTTTATGCGGTTTATAACTGCATAGTTAGGGCAACGCATCACTTGTAAATAAGTTAAAATTCGGACTTCTGAATTCATTGTATGATTTGCGTAGGTGTTTAAGAAAAATTGTTGGTACTTTTCGCAATCGACACGGCGGAAAACCAATACGGCTTGAAGACGAATGTCAATAGCAGTGGCATCGTCAACAATTATATCTTCTAGTTGAGCTGCGAACGGTCCCGAAACGATACCAATATTTCCAAGACTCTTAAGTATTACTATCATACGTTCGCGTGAGCGTCGCTCACCGCGATACATGTTAAAAAGATTTAAAAATTCCGTTTCCAATAAATTCGTAGTTTTTCGTATTCTAGGATGGTCACCGCAATTCTCATTATGTCTGCAAAAACTGTGGACGACTGCTGAAGCACCTAAGGTATATTCTGGGTCGATTTTCTTACGTGAAAACTCGAGAATTGTGTAAAAAGTCTCGAGTGTTTCCTCATTGGGCCTCTGAATGAATGAAAGTGAAGTCATCCAATTGCGTGCCAGATTTTTTGATATTCCATTGCTAATAATTTGATCTCGCATTACTTGATAAGCAGCTGTACTACCAATGTAGGGCAAAGATTCCAAAACGTGGTTCCTAAGATAAGTTATTCATAAAATTACGACAATGAACGATAACCTTGAAATATTGCTTATCAGCAAAAACATATCGCTTACTTGCCATGATCGCAAATACTAGCAGAACGGGCTAATAGCTGAGTCAATGCTTTATAATCAAGATGCTTAGTTGTCTGCAGAAATCGTATGAAAGCGTCAATAAATTCACGTTGAATTTTTGGAAATCCCAACGTGCACATTTCTTTTAAGAGTTCACGTGAGGCCTTTATCTCTCCATGTGTAGGTTTAGCGACAGGAGTGTGATCAAATAAGAGCGTTGAACGTTTTTCTACAAGTTCGCCATCTGTTCGAGATAAAGGGCAATAAGAGAGAATAGCCACTAAAATCCATGAATAAGAAGCGCCGTACCTTGATAGGGGAACTCTTGATTATTATTTGAACTTTCTCCTTTGAATTCCAATTTATGGCTCGACGTGGTTACGGCGCCGGAAGTTGCATTCGAAAATGGCATCAATTGGTAACGTTCATGGCAACTTATGTTGCGATAAATGTTGTTATCAATTGTCATCTAAAAGATGATTCACGTATCGCATGTTAATCCCTTAAACGTTCAAAGGCTATTTATACTTACGTTACAATAGCTTTCCGAATCCAAAATTGGCCAAATGGTTTTATCTTCACGGAAAGTGTATGGAGTCGTTTGTAATATGGTATGCGTCGAGTATCTATTGCGACAACTGGCCATATTCTTACGTTTGCTTATTGTAATAAACACATTATCCGTTGTCTCTAAGGAATACTGCACGTCGCAAGTACCAGACACATCAGTCTCAGTTGTATTGAAATCGATATCAAAGCGTAACATAGTGTTTTGAAAAGTTGACAGAATTCCCCGTTTGAAGTTAAGCACCCAGTTTTGTTCATTCGTTCGAGGACATAACTCACTAATACGGCCATCGTGGAAAGCGAATCGCAATAAATTTGCTTTCAAATCCGATTCAAGTTTTTTGCTTTTTTGATGTTCGTCTGTGTTTGTCTCCTCAGCGGATGCGGCTGCGAGTTCCTTATCAAGTTCTCCATAGTAGTCATAAAAGTCATCGCTCGTACTCGCAGGATTTAAATTATCATGAAAACCTGGTTTATCCCACAATTTTACTTCGTTAATACGTAAATAGGCCTCGCAAGCACTTGGATATAAGAAATCTACGTTAGCTCTAAGGAAAAGATTTGAAACGTTCTCCCCTGAGCCCACAAATAGCGTACGAAGTTCTATCGTGTAATCATAATTATAGACATTGTTAACTAAATAGCTAAACTTTCCTTTTCTGCTCGCATTACAATCGGGTCGGCCACAAATTCTAGAATCTTTCAGCGGATCTTCAAAGAACATATTTATTATTATACTCTAACTATTAGAATAACTTTACTTACTTTTTCTTACAGTTAAGCCAAATTCGACTTGGAGCATTAATAGAAACACTATACAGGAGATACATTTGGTAAACTTTAATGAAGAGTTGCTGCCCATCATTCTGGCGGCAAGGAGGTTTATTCACTTTCACGATGAAATCACTTTGATTAATTTCGCTGACTTTTCTACTCGACAAGCAAATATTTGATACTTATTTTAATATGTCCGAAATTCGATGATAACCATTAGCGCGTTCCTCTCATTTAAAACTAAATCATTGAAAACATTTATACCATTAATCTGCGAGAATAGACACACATTATGAATTAATCATAGTAAACAATTGCTATCACCATTCAATCCTCAATAATGATTAGTCAATTGGAATCTGTAGTTTTTCTTATCTCCTTAGAGCTGTATATTCAAACTTTCATATCAAGCTAATATTGTAAATACATATGTAATCTGAACCGCACTTAGCTTACCAGTTGCTCGCCATTCGTTTGACCCGGGGTACAATACCATACCATATTCTTTTCAGATACAAATTTTCAATAAATAAAAATTCAAACAAACAATAATAAGAAGAAAGCACACTCTCTCTACTGATGCTGTAATTGTTTGCAAATGTCTATCTAATACAATATTTTTCATAGAATAGAACTCTTCTCTATCTGATAGCTTTGTGTACATAAGTATATAAAGGGTTCGAGTTGAACATATCATCGTAGCAAGTGCATACGCATGTAAAAGAAGGAAGATAAGAATACAGAAACATTATCTTAAGAACTCCCAAATGACAATCTTAAGGGTGGGTGCAGAACTTTTGTTTACATTCATATATGCTTTTGTATTCGCGTTGTCCTTAAAGTGATGTATGTAATTTTTCTATGGCATTATTTGATATGAACACCGATATAGTAACGCTTATGGATAGATTAATGAAAGGGGATATAATAACAATAACACATTGCTATTCTTTAAAAAAAAAATTATTTTGTGAATTTCTGGTAAGCAATTACAAAAATTAAAAGCTTCACTTGCCTTTTGGGAAGCCATGGTTATATAAAAAAACCATCGGTTATACTAAGTATGTGAAAATTAAATTTTACTTTAATTGTGTCGAGGTAACAGTAACTCATTGCCATTTACTAAACGGCTATGAAGAACATATAGCTAATTGTCGGACAGAGGTTGTTTGTCTGAAATATATTGAAATATTTAGGTGTCTTTTTTTTGAAGGATTGTTATACCCTACACCAATTGTGATATTATCATGGGTTTATTAAATTTACGCCGATGTATGCAACGACCAAAAGGACTGGACTTTTCTTTTATTCCATCAATCCACTCGAAAATTGATTCCGAATCGATTTGAACTTGTCTATTCGTCTTGTTTCCTGTGTTCAGCCTACAATCGTCGAGAGAGGATATTATTGAAGGGAGCTACTGAAAATGGTAGGAATTTTGAGTAATCGCCATATGAACGGTAGGGTAGTATAAGGTGCACCGTGGCCCATTACATTGCTTAACTTGTATTTACATCAATGTTTTCAGCCATGAAGACTTTACTAGTTCATTAAAAGCGAGTAAATAGACGGTTCTCGGTTTGACGGACGGACGGACATAAATAATAAGATTTAGAATATCTCGCTTCTACTTTTGTTAGGCTTATAGGTGTATCCCAGCTTAATAAGTACAATAGACCTTCTAGGTCGCTATAGAGATCGGTCACAACAGCACTTGCTTATTGATAAAATTAGAATATCCTTATGCTTTTCGATAAAGGATATAAGAGAACGTTAAGAATTTTTTGAAAGGTAAAGTATATGGAAATTTTTAATAATATTTTTTAATAGTATTACTGTTATTATCTCTACATTGCTCATCTATTTTAGCTACGTACGTATGATTGCCCAGAACTCATATCAAAATAAATAAAACTTTTCTGCTTGTTAGCCTTTTGGAACTTATTAATAAAAACACTTGATAGCGATCTTCGAATGTTTGCCAATACCGATATGCCGAGCAAATCGCATATGTTTTAAAAAGACAATTAAGCGTTTTTCCAAGTTTATCCAAGTTTATTAGTATTTTCTAATATTTTTGTTTATAATTTTCCATCCAATTCCGTCATATTCTTGCACATAATTGAAATTTTGAAATTTACTTGGAAGTTTGCACAGTTTTTCAACTTATGACACTAACTATGTACACCAACCGCAGTAAAAATTGTTGAACCTAAAAAACAAATAAAACTCACTAGTAATCACTTCGCATTAAATAGCGCAGACGAATCCACAAAACTGGGATTTACTTAATTGAATTCCTTTTTTTCGGTTTTCGCACATATAAACTTATTTCGATTTTTAATTCAAATAAATATATTAACTCTTGAATTCTTTATACGAGCATGCTTTCCGTTACTGATAAACTTATGACCTTTCGAAGCAAAAGAGTTCTAAAGAATGCTCACGTAATCAAAATTCAAATTAACTCCAACGACGGCGCGAACAAAGGCAAGGAGTTTGAACCTTTTACAGCTGAACACTCCGATCCCTTGCTTCCGTGAACTTAAGACAAAGCGAAGAAAATTTTTCACTTTATTCAAAAAAAAAAAAAAAAAAATTAATCAAGAACGACGTCCATCATATGCAAACGCGAAACTAAGAGTGATGCTCATACATCAAGTAATTTTACGGTATATTTTCAAATTTCAACGTTCGCTTGCCGCGACTCTTTTCTCTTTCTCTCTCTCTCTCTGTCTACACTTTCATGTATGACATTTACACGCCTTAGAAAGAAAAAAACTCAAGCTTAGATCGAATTTTAACTTTCTTTAGAAAACATTACGATGCATGAAAGAGTTTTTGAAAAGAAGACAAATCGTGAAGATCATAGAGATCATCCGGGAATCCTGCAATGTCCCTTTCGATGATCCATTTTCCACAGAAGGAAATTGTATTTTCTTTAAACGGTAGGAATGTTTAGACAAACCTATCCGGCTGCCTTTTTATTCCATCCATAAACAAGAAAAGGCTTAATATTTGCAAAATCTTCATCAGTTTAAAAGTGTCGCCTCTCCGAGAAATTCACTTCAGAAATATCAATTTTGGGTAAAAACTTATCGGGTTGTGAAAAAAAAAAGATTTATCGCTTAGCTGGTCGCATTCTACCTTAATAGTAAAGTAAAGTCTAAAACAAAACCCAGAAATTTTTGGTTTCAGTTTACGCTTTACTGTGGGCGTGCGCTTTGACCAATTCATCTTGTTTTCAATACCAACCAAACCACGCACAAGAACGTCCAATATTTTTGTCAAATTTGAAGTCGCTAGCTTCAATTTTTCGGCCAGGAGAAGGTTTACCACAGACATTACAAAAACATACAGACAAACAGGTGCATAGAAACGTACACCGGATAAATGGACGTGTTGAAGTCGGTTTAGAATTCGATTCTGATTAAATGTACAAATAGACCTCATGGCATCGCTCAAAGCTCCTTATGGTTATTGTAAACATTATTTAAATATTCCACCCATCCTTCCGTGATTAGTGCATCCCAAATCGATGGACAGTAAGAAAATCATCAGAAGTGAGGCTTCTCACGATTCCCATTACCAATAAAAGCTAGTTTCTACATAGTCTCTCTCAATCATATCCTTAAATAATAAACTAAATCTTTTTAATATATCGAGACGTTTAACAAGCGTGCTAATAATCCTTTCACCGTTAGTTTAAAAATTTATTTTATTAAATTAATTCATATTAATAATAATAGTAGCAATACTTGGATCAAATGTAGGGAAAACTAAGCATATTTTTATGTTGTTCTACAATTTCAAATACCGCTTAATCCGGCTAAGCTAAAACTGCTTTTTTCCTTTTTGTAAATTCTCCGTCTCTACTAATTTCGAAGCGTGGGCGAAGAGATCTTTTAGTTCGCGATTTGGATTGCCCACGCAATAACAATAATAAGTAACCACCAAATACACAATACTTAAGAAACAAAAATTCCTAAAAAACCCTATTTTGAACCTATAACAGAAATCTTGACTTTTTCAACCAATTCGCCCAAAAAAACAAAGGGGCAAAAATTTCGAATTTGATTGAAATCAATTTTTTTATTACAAAAATATAATAATTTAAAATAATCGAATATCGAACTACGCTAATATATAACTACGTTCTATTAAAAACGTGACAAAGAAACACATAAAAAAAAAAAAAAATAAAAATAACAACGGTTTAACAAATTATTAGCATAACTAATGCAAAATGGATGAGAGGAAAAATTTTAGGTCTGCAGCACCAAGTCATTGGAAACGATATTCACACCGATATACGCTGAATTCGTTCTATTACAATTATATTTTTAAGTTATTCTAATACAATTATGACTAGTTTTTCGGGAGAATTATTTCCCGCAAATCCTTTACTCTACTAAGTGCAATTTTCAAACTAAATAAAGCAAAATGTTCGTGAAATAAACGCACAGTCTCAACTTAAAAAGTAGCTTAGCGGCTTGGATTTTCCATTCTTGCTAATAATTGCTTTTGCCCCTGTAAATAATGAATAAAAGTTATACGTACATGATATGTACAAATGTCGCTCACCTCCACGATCTGATGCCTTGGCGACACCCATATTCGATAGAGATTCAAAAAGCAGGCCCAAATTTGAACGATTGTCAAGATAGTCTCGACTAATTTGTACAGTTGTTGGCTCATGATTTTTTGTTTGCGTATGCCACACTAAAATTTCAGTGCAATTATTGCCCTTAGGTTCAATCATATCCAATCTTAAAGCAAGACTTCGCAGAAAGTAGTCCTCTTCATAGCCAGGCACAAACGGCATACTTGCATTAGGATGTTCAGTCATGTAAGCTAAATTCACGGCAAATCCTGCCATATCTACGGGCCAACGACGTCCGGCGACCCAAGAATCTAAAAATCCAACAACCTTTCCCTATTTTTTAGGCGCATGCCATCGAAAATATTTCTTTTCCATAATACATTTTTACAAATACCTTTCGGACTACAGGTCCGCTAATGCCGTAATTTGCAATAAGACCAACAGGGAACATCGATACACGCTTTGTGTCACGTATTTCCTGAAACAATTTAAGATCGTAGGTATTATCATCATCCCCAAAATATAGTATTCCTGAGGTAATGTTACGGCTTCGTAACCATTCCATGGCAGCTCGTCTGTTCGAAACCCCTCGTGGTTTAGCCTTAGCGTTATTAAATTGGGAAGGCATAGGACTGCTCAAATGTGTAAACGGAATGTCTGGAAATATGAAGATTATTCTCATATCGTTGTACCGTAAGCTTAAGGCGGTAGCTTTATTAACTTACGAAACCTATACAGAAAAGTATTCAGATAGGGATTGCAGCTGTTGTAATCGTTCGCTACTATCCAATGAAGTCGCGGTATATGCTGCAAGGTGTATCCAAGTCGCAGCAATTCCGGTATTTGTTCTTTGCGGGGATAGGTAGGTGTAACAAAATATATCATGGACAAATTTTTCCAATCTTCTTGTCGTTTATCTTGCATGTATAAACGCGTATCTTGAAAATTCTCTTCACATACAAATTTCAGTTGTTCGTTCAATCCAATGTCATCTTGAGTGTCTAAAGAAAGAGATAAAAATTGATGATTAATTCAATTTACATAAGACAATTTTGCGTGTCTCACATCTTTTCAGCATGTCCATAGTACCAAATCCATGACTAAGATCTATGACACAATCGTCGACTATGCACCATGCAACGTACAGAAACAGCGTTACTAGAATCATAATAACAACAAATATTCGTCGACCGAACACAGTTTTAGGCCACAGTAAACGACTTGCTGATAAGGACATTTTTTCTTGTTTCGAAGAAGAGAACATTAATATGGTAAATCAGGATTCAATAAGCAATAATAAATATTGTGCATATCCACTAGTTTGCCAGTTATTTCGTCGCCGAATGCTTCTTTCCTCGACGAAATAAGTCCACTTATATAATTACAGGTTAGAGTTGAAAAAAATTATTTTCCTTTTTCATGTTCTCAAAAATAAATATTATTTAAATTTTTGTTTTATTTTATATTTTTTTCTAATGTTTTAAAACATATCAAATACTTGCAGAGTTGCCGTAACCGAAAATTTGAGGAGAATACTAATTTAGTACAATATTGTGGATCAATTAGTTAAAAATGCATCAATTCGTGCTGGCTGACGTAGTACTTTGTCTTACAATACTTCAATTTATCGCGTTCATCTTTGTAAACTGACATGTGAAAAATGAGAATAATATGTCCAAGCCACTATACAGAAAAACTCAGGGCGCTTAAGATTTTAATGTGAAGCATAATCAATTCTTTCTAAACGTTTTTAGCTGTTATAGTTAACCGCTTCAAAATTGTTAAGAAAAAATTCTTTTCGACCTTTTAGTTCACTTAAATAAAAACTCTTTCGACATCGTTCACGCACTGTTCTGGTTTTCAAGCTTCATACACAACGAGCTTAATACACTTACTTTGTCTACCGTCCGTCTGAAACAAGAATAGTTTCCGCACAAGCAGAAAACTTGTAAAATTTTACTACTAGCAAATAATGAGAATGTGTGCTTTATTCACCGTTATTAACAATTCTTGAGGATTAAACCTGCAAATCAACTTGTGAGGATGATATCATAAAGCAAATCGACCTCTAAGCGTACTTTAGAAAAGACACGAGGTTCGGAGCCAGTAAAATAATAACCCTAACGTTGCAATACATCCATATTGCATTTAACCCGTAAATTTTAAAGCAAATATCAAAAATTAAAATTTTTTTTGATAGGATCGCCCATTTGATTCGTCAATTTCTTTAGAAATTATACAGGTGTAGGCATAGACAACTAGATGACAAGATATCCCAACATTTTCTTCAAACTACAAACTAATAAAACGCACTTATACGAATACCATAGCGTATATTCATTTGGAAACACGAAAATCTATATACTTTTGGCTTTCTAAACATTTGATACAATGGCACAATTTATATAAGCCGCAGAATAACGATTGAACAAATGATTTTCCTATAGGCTCGGACCGGAGTTATCAAATGGGTAAAGGAATTTTAGATTGAAATGGAAACAAGTACTTTAGGCGAGCGCGTAAATCGCGTTAATCATATGTGATTACTTGCTTTAAACCGTTGGAATTTTAGGAATACATCAGCAAAGCGCCATAGAAGCAAAAGACGGAAAACAAGGATTTGTCTTTGTTTGAAATGAACTTGGAAACTTGGCGCCATCTTTAGCGTTTATTGGAATTATCGGATATTTTACTAATTTACATCGTCGATATGAGATACTCGGCAAGTTTGTCTACATGCCGACCTATTTCTATGTATATTAACATTGTGTTTCCTTTAAGCAAAGAGCAGAAAGACTGTGCCACACTTCTGTTTCAAAACGGGTATACCGTATGCCAGTTTATACCCAATGCTCAACGTGAACGTACATTATTCTTTAACAATATGGGTCCAATTTTATACTATTTATGCATTTACGGTTACGGTGCCTTAAGCATTAATTCGGCAGTAATAGCGGAAAATTTACTTGGCTTATTTTGGTAAGCCTAATTAATAAGCGTTAAAAAAATAAACGTCAACCTACGTTTTAATGACTGTATAAATGATGCAGATTTTAGAATTTAAGCTTGCCTGCCTGGAGGGATCTACGCGGTCGTCATTTCCATCTATTTTGAAAACAAAGCAAATTTACCCACAAATACGGAAAAAATGCATCTTTCTCTGCGTTGAATGTGATTCTTCGTTTCCTGTTCAACATCGTACGGCGACCCTTAAAAGGTCATTAAAAAGGCAAAAAAAAAAAATATCTGCAATGTACTAAGACATTTCTAAAAATTTTATATATGTTATCATCCATTTTCCTAGCTTTGCCAGAATTCCATTTTCAATTTCCTCTTATAGGTTTATCCATTCAATTAGTAACTAGCTTGCCTTTCTTTTAGAAAACCAGATAATAAAACAATTTTTTCAATAATAAAAGTTGTTGCATTATATGTTTGAATTAATCTATAAACGTAAGATAAAATTTCATCTTAAATTATAAAAGTTTTAATAAGAAATACAATTTAATTTAAATTCTTTGCAAAGAACATGTGTACAATTAATTATCTTAGCATTTAAAAAACAATCTATTGCAAACTGACGAGTAAAACCTTATCCGCAAAAGCTTCCAGAGCATCGTGGCTCAATCTGCGATGCAATGGCATTTTTGCTATTAGCTAAGAATATATTTGTTCGTTTAGAATATTTGTACGAAATTTTAGACCAATCTTGCGATAGTCGTTGCCAATTTCTCGGCATTTGCTCCAGCAAATTCTTCCAATTTTTGTTTGTTTTTAATAAAAACAAAAGTTGGCATGCTAGAGATGTTAAATTCCATAGCCACATCTTCGCATTCGTCAACATCAACCTGTAGAAACGCAAAAAGGGATAAAACATAATGTGAATATAAGCAAAAAAAAAAGAAAATTTCTAAACGAACCTTGATGACGACAGCTTTGTCAGCATATTCCTTAGATAATTCTTCTAATACAGGTGCAATCATTTTGCATGGACCACACCAATGGGCAAAAAAGTCGACAATGACCAATTTATTGCCAGCATTCTCGAGTTGTTGATCAAAATCGGCCTGCGATACGAAATGAATATAATGAAATAATTGAAGAAAATGAGAATAAGTAAATGTTATCAACTGCTTAACTTTAATCTGGCTATCACGTATCAATGACACATAAAATATAAAAATAATCTTAAACACATAAATACTTATACATAAGTGCAAGCCACTCGAATGATTGAAATATTATTAATTTATTAAATTTATTGAGTCATGCGCTAAGAAACTAAATGACTAATAAGTTAACTTTAGCTTATTCAAATGCATTTAAACTCGCATTCCAATAATTCTAACACTAATTCTATTCACGATTGATATGTCAACGTCATTCGATTCGCATCACATAAAGGAAAAGTGCCAAAACCCGAGTCTTTTATGCGCACACGTGTTTATTCGGAATGTTAGCTTTTATTTCTTCCTAATGATGTCATAGAAAGGTTTACACTTTAAATTATTTCAGTACTTCAAGCGTACGCAATATTGAGTTCAGGGGCGACGGTTCACGCTCAAATTATCCCCTATGCCAGCGGATAGCGTAAACGACTATCCGAAGCCATCTGCTTCCCCCTTTGCAACTATTGAAGTTACTTCTGTGTACGACGAAAGTTCAAATCTTCCCTACGAGAATAAACGCTATGCAGAATTTATATATACGGTAACGTTTAAGTGTTTGGAAATTTCGACCACATACTTTTTGAATGAAAAAGGTTAATATTTTGCTTATATTATTATAAGTTATCAGCAAATTAGGTTTAAAAATGAGCGCTACTTACTGCCGCAAAACTAAGTACAACTATTTAACAGACTATATGCAAGAATAACAAAAAATTAGGAAAAATTCGTTATACACATACACGTACATAATCCAAAAAGAGACATTGTGGTCAAAAACCTATTTATAAAGATTAATGAAGGATTATGGTCGTAGATAATAAAGCTTCAACCAAAGAGGAAAATAATTTGTTTTTGCTTATTCTTCAAAATCAAATTTTCGTATCAATTAATTATATGTAAGTTGTAACCAAATGTTATGCTTTAGAAAACACGAAAAAAAACAATATTTATGCAAATGTAAGCTTAGCGACAGGTATTTAAAATTCGCTAGAATAATCTTACGAGTGAGATTATTATAATTTTGTATACATATAATGTATTTATTAAAACTTGAAAAAGTTGTAAGCAAGCAATTGGAGAAAAAAAAGCAAATTACGTCTCTCTGTCTCATATCTCAAGCCTTAAAAACGTTTAAACGCTTTCAATGACTTTGCAAAAGACGCTAGATACGTATGCCGTGGCTTAACATTAATTGTCAATAACGTCACGTGTATGTGAAAATTAGTGACTCTTTAAATATTACATGAATTACTATGAAATCAAACTAATTATCCCATGTACGTATATATCCAATTTCCCACACAATCGAACACGTATTGGATAATAAAGCAGATGATATCATTGTTATAGCTTTTACATATTAACATACCAATCGTTGTAACCGAAGAACAGAACGAAAATCTCTCTTTTAATATTTTAATAATTATTCTTCTTTTTATACATTGATTATTTAACAAATGCATGTATCTTCAAATTTATATTAAACTTACCTTATTTTTTACTGCGTAAACCATTTTCGTTTTATCTTTTTTTAGGAAACGACACTTAAAAATATTTCAATTTTTCACACGCTTAAAGAATCTCTTTTGGACCTTTACGGACAACTTTATTTTAATGAATGCCGCTAGTGAAGCCACAAGAGGTAATAAGTAGTGCTGCCAACTTTATGTCTTCGTCGTTAATAAATTGAAACATGTTTAGTTGTCTTTAGCAATAAACTGTGTTTAGTAATTCAATAGTACACACAGTTGAAAAAAGTAGGGTTTTATCAAGTACTTTTTTTTAAACGAAAGTACCTTCTTTTGTACTTTTGTTCATACATATCGCGAAAAAGACGTACAGTATCATTAATCAAACATATCTATCGATCTCTTTAACGATAACCGAGTGTACTCATCAAACAAGGAATATGCGGTAATATGATATTAGATTACAACGACTTGACAAAATGACAAATATACTTTTCAAAATATATTATTATGGCGACTTCACGTCCATCACGATAACATTTTATGAAGAAATGTGACAAAGGCGGATGGACGGACATACACTCTAACCTGGTTAATGACTCGATAAATTGTACATTAACGCATCCTTTTGCATCACTTTAGGCAAGAATACTTGTTTGCAGTGACTTCCTTTCCCGTATACCATAATAGTAAATATCTGGAAAGTATTTAGGGCTGCTATCAAATTATTGCTTTAAAATTTCGATCATGGGAGAATGTGTGATTCGAGTTGGCTTTAGAATCTATTGGTCGTATTAGGTAGATGAGGTTGCATAAGCTACTAGTCTATTGTACCTCAATATTTCCTCTACCTCTCGAATTTTTATACCATTTATCACTTGTGATACAAGGATATGTTAAGTAAAAGTAAAGTAAGAAACCCATATTTGCACACGCGATATATACGATATATCATGAGGACGACACAATTTTGTGGACAACATATACAATATATGTGATATATGTTTCAGGTCGAATACAACTCCTTTCATGGTTTTTGTCAATTTTCCTATTTGGATGTCTTATGTGGCGATACAAGGCGTTTCAAGTGTTTACCTTTTTTTTGGAAAAATTTTTGCTGTTTTCAAAATCAAAACCTACTTTGTTCACTAAAGAGTAATACCTGAACATATCCTGGAGTTAGTTCCATTATATAAATAACATTAGTTTTTATATATATTAGCAAGCGAGATCTTCTGATTGGATTATCCCTACATTAGTTGGAATGTTTATGTCGCAACTGATTGTGTTTTTTTCATATTAAACATCACCATGTCGAGTATTTCACAATTGCTTTTTGAATTTGTTGTATTAAAAAAATATATTACTGGAAAGCAATGAAAGTGACAAACTTTATATCGTAAAATAATATACTGAAGGTAAGCGAAGAAATTTATTATTTGTAACTTTTCCATAAGAACGCACTTGGCCAAATAGGAGGCGAAAAGAAAAAGACGCTATTACTTCCTTTTCGACAAAGAGTGAGAGTGTAAGATGAAAATATCTTGCTTCGTCCTTCTAATAAAACGCATGTATTCTGAATCGGGGTTAGTTTCTGAATAGCTTTAATGATCGCTAAGAATTATTCAAATTATGAATATCGTGAAGATTGAAGCAGAGATTTGAAGCCTGACACGCCTATACTTCGATAAATTGTTGATAGTAAACAAGATTCACACCCACAAGCATAGACAACTAGCAATGTAATTATGCAGCTACCGATTGTAGCTGTTACACCAGTCGAACAATAGGCAAGTCATAATTAAAAACTTCAAGTGACAAATGACCAACATTCTTCCGAAAACAAATGTAATCTTTTACTCCTTATGCCTAAATATAGATAATGAGCTTTTATTCAATATTTTACTTAAAATTGACTTTATAAATAATTGAACTTAATATAAAACTAAAAATTATTTAACATTAATGCGCGTAAGTGTAATAAGAAGAAGACAATTCACAAGCCGAATTATGAGTATTCGCTTGATCGTAACCATATTGGGGAAAACATGTCACCGAACTGCTGTTATCCGATATGGAACCGCTTGCACTGTGTTCATATTGTTGAGATGTTTGTAAAGGAGTTCCGCCTGCGTCATAATAATTTGGCCCCGAATAATTATTATTTGTTGATTCTTCTAAGAAATCGCTACTTTGGTATGATTGTAACGGTAGATAATCGTAGCCGGCTCGTTCGGTTTCCGAATCAATGTACTTGAAAGCAGGCTTTTCCTCTTTGCTTTGACGCGATGTCAAACTATAGCAGTTATCATAACTATTCGAAACAATACGATTCTCATCTAAAAATGTCGTTCCATTCATAAATACTTCACCATGATTGTTGTGTTTGTATTGCTGTTTTGCATCATCCGTTTGTTCACTCAACTGGGGAATATGTTGTTTGATTTGTGAATAATTTATAAATTCTGGTTCATTGCTCGCCACGTGATGTTGGTTGCTCGTTCGCATAGCTGACATATTACCGCTATGCGTTCCATTAGGAAGAGTATTATGATCGTCGGTCGACGTTTCATAGTTAGTATTGTAATAGAAAGCGGACGAATTCATATAGTTTGTGTGATGATGAGTCGCATTCGTTGTGGAATGTGGTATATTATGATTTAACTCGAATGTTGTTGGACAGGTATATTGTTCTACGGAAGATTTCGGCGAAGATGTTATTGAAAAATGTGTCACTGCCGGTGTATGATAAATTGGATAATTGTACGTGATATGCTGATGATTTACGGTAAACACTGTGGTTGGCTCACAGGTGTGCCCTTCACTTTCTCCAACATTATACAAAATGCTTGAAGTATGATTGTGCGGGAAATTCGCATGCGAACCTAATGATCCATAATGATTTGTGGCTGATTGGTAACTTAACACGTTTGGATTACTGGTTGAAGGTTCTAGAAAACAAGTGCAGGCGGCTCTTGTAGGGCATTTATCACAAGCTAAAATCATAATGTAAAGCAGCGTCGATGAGAAATTCAATTTTTTATAAATTTTGGAAAAAAAAAAACAAAAACAATCTTACCATTATGTTTACAAATTCCCAAAACACCCTGAGAATTTTGATTGGATTTACTTGTACGCTTAAGTACTTTATTGATAAAATTATTGTTTTTCATTGGCTTTATGCTGCCACCAAGCCCTAAGCTTGCGTTATGTCGTCTATTTGCTCCCCTTAATGTTGATGGATTGCGATGACCCATTAGGGGTACTCGCCCAAAAGCCCTTTTCGATACGCTCGAATTTTTAGGCTCCGGTCTGGGATGATCGTGGACGCCCTTGGCTTGAAAGAATATTGCATTAGTTGAATGCCTCCAAAAGTGCGTAACCGGGTAGCCGCAGTGTCCTCTGCAGGGCTTAATTTCTAAACGTCCGCCACGGCAAGTCTTATTGGGACAAGCTTTACCTTCCTGTTTTCGCCTTGCCTTATCACAAATGGCCGGACGCAAGTTGATTTTGTTACCATTCGGTAGCGTGCAATTTTGCGAACAAACTAATACTCCGAGACAGCTTTTCTTTAATATGTTAACATTATGATTATTAGTATTTCGCATCGCCCAACCTGATATATGTTTTTTGGCCTCTTCATGATTAATGGGGTATATCAGTCGCACGTGGCCGTCCGCCCAATCGCTAAATTCATCGAAGTCACTTTCAGATACTTGCGGTACAATAGCGTCGTTTATATCCCAATCCCGTTTCGACTTGACAGTCATATTTATCGGTTGTTGCTTGCGTGTGTTAAAACAATACGCATTTCTGAAAATAAAATGATATTTTTCTTATATATCATTCAGTACAGTATATGCCGAAAATAAAAGCGGTTGGGATGTTCACGGCTAAACGCCACCATTCAACAAGTACGGAATTTATATATTCGCAAAGCCATATCTTGAACACTATTTTTTCTCAGTTGGTATTAAGATATAAGACCTATAAGTGAATGACTATATTATTGGTCTCAAGGAAAAAGAAGTCAGAAACTTATATTCGTCTGGGGCCGAATCTCGCACAGTCACTGCCATTGATATCTTTGGCGCATCATGCTTTCATTTATTGTCATAAAAAAGTGTGTGGCATAAAATTTATCTCTTACCTTATTGTTAAGAAAAATTAATCCACAATATCGCAACATCAACCACAATTAATTTAGAAATAACACACTTAACTTGTTACGTTCTACTCTCCAAGTCCCTTTATGGTATCCCCTTCTAAACGGTATTGCAACGAAAAAATTAATCCGCCATGTCGTGACGTCCCCCATTACTAAGTTAGAGTTAATACACTTAGCTGTTGGCCTTCTACTCTTCAAGCACTTTTATTTGATACCCATAACGGTGGTAATATTAAGAAGAAATGAATCTACCAGGTCCGTGCGTTGCCCATATTTATTTTAAAATTAATGCATTTTTAGGCAAATAATATCTCTTTATTTGAGAAATGTACAAGATAGTCTTAAACATTCTGTCTTGTTTACTTTATGATAAATAGAAGAAAAGTTAATCACTTATAACCTTGTGTGGGCATGGCTGATTCTTCCCATTTTTTGCACATAAATGAAAGAATCTTCCGTAAAGTAAATGTAGCTAATTTTAGCCTTCTAAGATTTCGCTTAGGGAAACGGAATCGCGTTCACTTTACCGTTGCCCGTTTTCAAAGCCAACCTGAGTGCAAAAACCTCCCATTTTTTTATGAAATTTGAAATCCATATTTTCATATTTGCGACCAAAAGAATTTCAACAATACTCCTTAGATCAGGAATATATAGACTTCATAGCATGACTGACGTTTTTTTTTGGGTATTGCAAACATCACGACAAAATGAGTATACCCCCGTCTTTCGGTGGTGGGTACAATAAGTAAATTGACGAAAGAAGAGAAAAAAAGCAAAAACAAGTAAAAAAATTATATTCGGCTATGACCGACACTTTATTCCCCATCACCTTTCTAGTTGGACAGAATACTAAGATATTTATTGTTGCAGTTTAGGAGTAGAGAGGAAAATATTCCTTTTTTGCTTTCTGAAAGCAGAGCTGTTCTCGCCTTACGTCGTAATGCGGGCATGTCCCTTAACGAATTTGGTCCCTTTTCAATAGCAGACTGCTTCCACTCACTTAATATCGTAATTTTGCGACGAAGAGAATATTTATCACAGACGTTACACTAACAAACAGACAGACAGCCAAACATGCGAAAATTCATAACGAATTTGATCCCCATAAAGAACACAATATGCTTTATGAGATCCCTGAAGTTTACTTCTGTTTGTTGCAAATATTTTGACAAACTGCGTACACGCCCTTCCTTCGGTGGTGGGAGGAGGAAAACTTTAGTGTTGAGCTTTCGAACTATGTATGCCTGTATATGTATACATGCAAAATATAAAGCGAAGAGCGAAGTTGCTCTATACACCTTAAAAATTTTAATGCACTGCTTCGATTTCAGTCGAGATACAACGAAAATCCATCGTATTAAATATATATATACGCTTATATATAACAAATTTTTTGATATTAATTTTCTTACTGCTTTAGTTGATTTTCCTAATCGATATGAGAACTAATTAACTGAGTAAGGTGAAAGTCTAGGAAAAAACTTGATCTGACACTAATTAACACTAACACTAAACACTAAGCAAAGTTTTCAAACATTAATTTAGGAAAAAAAGGGCTATCGTCCAGTAAGTATGCACATTACATTAATGTAGTCTTACAACGAAGTAGATCAGTTAATGATCAGATGCATATCTAGTGTTAAGTCTAACACACTTAAGCAGAACTTTCTGACGGCGTTGAGTTAACTTTTAAAGGCTATTGGAAATCTTTTTGTTCCGTTAATCATAGAACATTTAAATCGCTATACTGACAAACTGACAAAGGCTCTAAGAAATGGAATTTTGTTTACGTTGTATGGGAAAGTTGTTGTCGCATAAACATAGTTAACACCAGATTTACTACACGCATCAATTTAATGGGGCTTTGCTTATAAAAATTCTGCATAAGGAAGTAGATATCTTTAGATGTTATATTCTGGCTTTTTTTCCGGAACACGCTTTAGATGTTGTACACCTATCTTTGTGAATTCTCAATGTCGTAAAAATGAAGAGCGGAAGCTGAAAGTTTTCAGAAACATTCCTTAGACAATTGAGAATATGAAGCTAAAAAATGTGCCTGCTGTGCCTGTAAAACAATCTCGGAAAATATTGGCAATTTTTTCAAATTTTAATCTATAACTTTCGATCCTGTGAACACGTTCGTGAAAAACTGATAGCCAAATATTCGCTAAAACTACTGGCATGTGCGGTGCAAAAATGATTCTGATTGGTTTGCTAATACATCCACAATTAACGATAAAAATTTAATTCTAACGTAAGTTCAACTTATTTACCATTTATTGTAACACATTGGAATTTAAAATTTATCCTTAATTATGGGTATATCGGTAAGGTGGTTCAGGCAAAGCTATCGGTAGCAGTCTATGTTCAAGAATTAAAAGACATTTTATGATGAAGTGATGTTAACTTTCTAAGCCTTCTTGATTACGGATAGAAAGCTGTGAAGCTAAGGCACATAGAAAAGGGATTTGAGCACCTTTTCTTCGCAACCTAAACAATAAAGAAATTGCATTGTGTTCGCTGGGGCGTTGCCGTGAAGTGATTATATTATGCAATACGATAGGATAACGAAACTTTCCCGTACTACGTGGACATTGTTCGTTGGTATTTGTTGGTAAGAGATTTTTAATCGGTAACTATTTTCGTGCTTTTATTGTAGTCAGTTTTATGTGAGCAAAGTAACCTTAGGCAAACATGATGCTAGAAAAACCAAACAATTCCTTGACTCTATTTTTGTAGGTAATCATCAGTTTTAAAAGTGCGGCTATGAATGAAATCGCATGCTGCTGGCGTTTGCATTACATCTGTGGAAGTAACTCATGTGCGGAATACAACCTTTCATACGTTTTATGCGATACACCTTCTTAGAGAATTTTTCAGATTTCATATAATTATCGATTGATTAATGCTTTATTTGCTTCTTAAACTTTTTTCACAGATAATACTTATGTGCATTAATGAGAAGCTCTTCTCATCTAGAAACTGTTTCCTAGAAACTTTTCCATAATTTGGAAAATCAAGCTTCGGGCAGGGCAGTTGACATAAAACTCTTGCATCTTTGAGTAACAAATTTCAAGTTGAAAGAGGAAATCTTTTAAATTTACATCCTCGACTATTGCGTTCTACCACTTTTGATTAAAATTTTCGGATGACCTTTGCCATGTTCATAAAAACATTTCGCAAAGATGTGGAAATCATTTATTTTTCTTGTACAAATAACTTAAGCTCCAATACTCTAAAACAGATGTAATTAGGCGTTATGAACATTTGTCCAAGTCTCCTTCGATGACGTACAAGAAAGGGTATATGTAATTCGACTCTTTGGTTTAGTTGGTCACTTGGTTTAATATCGCATAGCATTTTTTTGTTTACACATGTACGCCTATAGATAAAAGATAACGAGTACTGATAACATAACCTTGTCATCTATATACCTACACTAAACATCGAAATTGCTTTCGCATCAGGGAACATGTATTTTTTTTCTTCGGCTGCAAGTCTTGGCATCGTTTTAGTGCCAAGGTGTTATTTATCAATCCTAATAAATGCCTATATTTGTATCTAAGCATTCCTTTGTTTCATAAAATTTTTTTCTGGCAACATGTATGAGTGTGTGTGGTCTTGCTTTGAATTTGGTTTTCTTTTCGATTATCTCACAAAAGAATATATTATGTTCTTAATGAAGAGCTATGATTATTAAATTTCATGTTATTAAATGTGCATTGAATAAATATTTGTTCAACTCGGCATGCGACTCACACACATTTATTTTATAATAAAACGAATCTGAATTTGTACAAAAATAAATTATACGATTGAAATATCTCTACAATTGGAATAGAGGACGACAATACCGGCCGAGGCAAATAAGAAATCCAAGCCTGCCTAACGGTAAATTTTGCATTATCTCGATTTCAGATTATTTCAACACAAGATCTGCAAATCCAAATCATGAGTTGGTTTACGTGAATGCAGATTCGATCATCTGATTACCGACAATGGATACAAACAGGTAGCCTTGGTGTATAACGATCGCATAGGTAAACACCCTTTAAACCGTTGGAAATATGAAGATAATGTTAGCTGGTAGTTGATATTAACAAGTTACAATGTGCAATTTTTTGCGGAAAATCAATTTTCTGCATTGACTTGACTGATACTGTAAGGCTCCTAGTATACGGGGAACACAGTTTAGTACCTAAAAGCAATTGTTTCCTTGTAACTGCACGCTTTTCTCCGAACGTTACGAAACCATTACCCATGTCAGATAAAACCCTAACTTGTGGATTTATAACTTCCCTAAGGCACTAGCAAATGTTTTCGGACGGACTACGTCATCTTCAGTATATGTTCAAAAGAACTTAGCTTTCAGAGTTTTATTTAAATGGCAAGAAAGTCTTGAACATAGCAACCGCCGCTGCTCTATGTAATTTTAGTAACAGTCTGGCAAGTATGAAGAGTATTAGCGTCTAATCACACGTTAAGCGGATCAAACACGCCAAGCTGTCTTTGACAAATACAGCTCCATACTAGAGCACAAAACGTCGGGGAATGAGAGTAAGGAAATATGGGCTGGCCGTTTTATGGACCTAGAATAGCACGAGTGTTGATAAAAATTTTTAATTACACATAAGTGAGCTTGAAAAGGTGGCCCGATCCGCACTATTTTCGACAGAGCTCATCGTTGGGCCAGAACACGTCGATGTATCAGACGGACGCGAGGTTACATTCCGATGAAGATAAATTCTAAAGGCTGTATTACAAGGCCAAGCTGAGACGTCTAGAGTTTTTCCAATGTAGACTTAGTCAGTATAAAAAAGACTTTGTTCCCTAAAATATATGATTTTCGGAACCTTATTAGACTTTTCAGAAAAACACAGCGCACTTCATTGATTCCTCGAAATATGTGCGTCTTTAGCATACTAGTACTAGGTTGAGAGGTAAAGTTCACCAAGTACGTTGAAGTAAGTTCAGGACTTTTCCCGCCACAAAAATCTGACAAACTGCACTCAATGAGATTGAACGATATGAATGGATCGTTTGGTATTTTGGATCGTTTAATGGACAAGATGGGCTTCCCTTTCGATCGTTGAACATTATAGCACTTGGTAATATAGAGTCAGTTTTCTTCAATAGGTTTCTCCTGTCAGCCGGCGATTTCTATATTCAAGTTCCTTTACAATCGATGTTTTAAATCTGCTAAACTTGATGCGATAACTTTCGATAAAGTAAGTGAATCAAGGCTTCGAAATACTACAATATGGAAAATAGCCTGTGCATTACAAATTTTCGCCATAGAAGACAGCAAAGAAAATCATGAAATGATTACAATATTGTATTGGAAGAAGACTCGCGAAGAGTCGAACTATTCTTAAATTAATAATATCTTTATGTCATCTCTCGAACTTTACGTGATTAATAAACCTTCGTCTTAGGGGTAAATTTTTTGGTAACAGAACGAAGGAAGGATACTTAAGGTAGCTTCAATTCTTAAATCAATCAATCAGTCTGCTCTGGCTGAAGAATGTTCTATAAGGAGAGTGATAACATTATAATGGTGGCGTACATCCCTACATGTTCAATATATATTATAAAATATGCATTGAAATTATGAATTTTCTAATACACTTACGCTACAACCATGTTCAGTTAGTAGAATTTCTCTGCAAAATAATCCACATTCATTTATTGAATCCTGCATCTATCTACTTTTTATATTACATATGTAATGGATTTATTTATTTTATATTTATTTGTTCGTTCACTTGGATTTTTTTTTTTTTTTTTTTTTAATTCAATTTTATAGATTTGAAAGAATAATAAAAATTGTTGTTGCATATTTTGTTTATATAAATATCAACGAATTAATTTTTTGATCGCACAAGTGTTGCTTTTGTTTTCTTTCATTTTTAATTCTTTGATTTTATTTTATTCACTTATATAAGTTTGCGTTGTTGCGTTGTATGTTTTCCCAATAGGTGACAACTAAATTAACATTAAAATAAACGCAACTTGTGCACGTAAAAATTTAATGGTTACACTTTAAAATCGAAAAGAAACAATAGTTTTAGCTCCACCTACAAGCAAATGCATAGAGGAGCATTAGAAAAGCTGTCATCATCTACTCCACCCGCAAAATCAGCTAACATATACACAACTCCACTTCCTACGAAGATGAAGAAAAAAAATAAGCAGACATGTTCCTTACAACTATCCATAATCATATCCAGTGTCGTTGTGTTGAGCTCAAACATGATTGGACGGATAATATTTTGCATGCATACACGCTCGTATATAAACAGGCAAGTTACACGAAGAGAGACAGACAGAGAGAGAGAGAGAGAGAGAGAGAGAGAGAGATAGAGAGAGAAGGACAAAGAAAAAAAAGAGAGAGAGAGAGAGAGAGAGAGAGAGAGCCAGCGGCAATTACTCGGTGTTAGACTTTTACAATTTCTATACATAGCATAAATACACAAAATACTGAATATAATTGGGGATGTTTTTCTGATCCGTCTCTTTTATTATCTTAACAGTTTAATTCAATTATTTGATAATTAAGTTTTGTACTCTAGGAACATGTACACATTTGCATACAATTAGTTTTTCATTATACCTGTGAACCAAAAAATAAAAAAAAAAAAAAAAAAAAAATGTACTAATTAAGTGATTATTTTCTGAAATAATCCGTTAAAGTTGAATATAATTGAAACCAACTGTTTGAAAAGTAAACGAACGGAAAACTCTGCATTTTCTTCTCTCAAGAAACTTTCCACAACAATACACTTCGTAGTTAAATTCAACCTCATTTCATACTCCAAGTGAACTCTTTCTTTAATAGTAAGAGGAATTAAGATACATTTGTCCATCCTTCTTATTGCCTTAGTGAAGTGAATGCAATTTTAAACACATACAGAGATTGTATAATTAATTTGCGCTGCGCTAGACAAAGTCCGAACTTAAGGAATTTTAAAAATCCCTCCCTCATCATAGCTCAAATGAAATGCACATCCTTCAGGTTTCTTTATTTTCAAAGTGTCAATGATATCCAAAATTGCGATAACAAAAGTTTTATGTCTCTAAAAAAAGCCAACTTAAAATTTAGTGCCAATATTTGTTAATGTGTGTGTAATACCTAAAAATGTGTCTTAGAGGGCAGGTCATGGCGTCGTTTTTACTTAAGAACTGTTTCCATTGGGTTTCAGATAGCGGATAGATTAAAAACTACGATATACAAATATTTACCTATTGAGGACATATTTGCATGCGGTCGACGACAATTTCTTCAATGATGTTTATATGCAGCTCTGTAGTTGTTTGTATCGGATTTCAAAACAATATTTAGTTTAGTCTGTTTTTGCGACCATGATATTCCAATTGCATGCGCCTATAAAACAAACAGATGGGGCGGACAGACGGACAGCACAGGGGGACAGAGAGTTTAGTCTAAATCGATCTAGAATGTTGTTCTGCGTGTACACTCACTTCACTTTCTTAGCCTCCAACGTGTATTTCGCGGTGTTGCATACAGACTGACAAATCTAAAACGAATTAATTCTTCGACTATAGGTATAAAAATCTATTTCAATACGATTTCAAAGGCGTTCGCTCGTAATTAAATCAATTTTCAGGATTAATTACCTCGTGACCTCATCAGTCAAGAATAAGGGTACGGTATACTGATTGCGGTTTTTTATAATCACCGCTGAAAGGTGGGAGGTTCACTCATTTTTTTTTGTTCACCGAAAAGAAACCCTTAGGAACCCTATAAAGTGTATATAATCTTGATAAGGGTCAAATTCTTAATTGATTAAGCAATGTCTGTTCGTCTGTGTGTCTGAGCGATGTGCGTTGTTGGCACTCTCATGCTCGCAAAAATGAAGATATCAACTTCAAACTTCCTTGAAAGTTTTTGGACGCAGGTTGGTATTGGAAATGGGACAAATTGTTTTGACCAAAAGCCCGTAGTGGAGCGTAAACTGAACGCGATTCCGCTTTTCTTAACAAATGTATGTGGTTTTAGAAGGCTGGAAATTTCCCCATTAACTTTGCAAAGCACTCGATTATTTACGTGCAAAAACGGAAAAAATTGGCCACGCCCACGTAAAGTTACAAGTCGTCAAATTTTATTTCTTTCACTTATTTATCGTAATTCAAACAAAACAGAATGTTTAAAAGTACTTTTGTACATTCCTGCCTAAAATGCATATCCGTACATATCTGCCTAAAAATGGGTTAATGGGTTAGGCGCCGCGACATGCGACCCGCGGATTAACTTTGTCTTAATAACACCAGCGATATAGGTATCAAATAGAAGATCTTGAAGAGTAGAATGCAAAAACCTATGTACATTAGTTTCAAATTAAATATCTCGGACGTCACGACGTAGTCAACTAATTTTTTCGCTCAACTAGAGTTGATATGGGTATCACATAAAAGGACTTCGGGAGTAGAATGCGAGAAGCTAAGCGTGTTAATTCTAAACAAATTGTGATGGGCTTCACGACTTAGTGGATAAATGTTTTCTTAAAAATGCCTTCGATATAATTATCGAATGAAAGGAGTGGGCGAGGAGAACGCGATATAATGTGTTAGTTATAATTTAATTATGATGGACACGTTTGAAAAAAAAACCCGTTTGTTGGATATTAAAATCTTAAGTGGACCAAGCGTTTATTTGGTGGGTATGTGAGAATTGGCCCCGCCGAATATAAATATTTTACTTGTTTAATTTATGTGCAACATATCGAAAAAAGGACCAATAATTGCTTTTATACGATAGATTTTTGATTTTGGTTTTAATCCAATTCCAACGCCAAGACATGTATTATATAGTAAGCAGCGTTTGTGAAAAGTTTGCAATGCTTACAAATACATATTGAAAAATCTGTTCTTTCCCTATACTAAAGCTTCTGAGTTAATCCCTTCCTCCAATCACAATAACAAACCTTAGATTTTGGTTTGAGTTTCAAGATACTCTCTTCAGCTCCCGTCAGTTTGTTTTAAATTTAAAATTCATCAGAAATTGATCAATAATTAACATAATAAATCGCAGAAATCCATCTTTTTAAAATTGGCTGCACCATAAACCTTTCATTAAGTTGAGACTTGCACATGGATATGTTAATTTTCGTTTAAGCATTGTGCAGAACAAGTAAATATCGTTATATTTTGTGCGTATAAAAGCTTAGCTGAATTCTACATTCAGTTATTTAAGGTAATTATTGTATACCTAGGAATTGCCAATAAAAGCAATAAAAGCGAAGTGGCAAGTGTATGTGGCACGAGAAGTTTTCAGTGATCAAATGTAATATTGCATAAGATATATGGTTTCTCAATAGTAATTAAATAAATTTAATTAATATTTTTTTTTTTTTTTATAGTTTCCTTACTACTTATTACATAATTTACTGACGAATTTCATTGAATTTTAAATTGACGGAAGTTGCAAAGAGGATTTTAATTAATAGAATTCGTTCATAATATTAAATCTGTTGATTTTCCTACACAGTTGAACACTCAAGCAGCTCATTACATCGGTTACGATGGACCCTTAAAAAGCCTATTAAAAGAAATTGTTCATAAAAAATATATAAAGTAACATATATTTGTAAGCGAGCATACACATATGTATTGATATAGATACAGACGCGTTAGACTTTGCATGTTCGCCTCTCAGCTGCTTAAACCCGCCCAAAGTTGGATTCATTCAGCTAGAAAGACGGAATATGGACATGCATAAAGCAAATGACATCTAAATAGCGATAAACAAAAACAATCCGAGAACGAGAAAGGCCGAGAACAGCATTTTATTAATTTTTGGGCATTTAAGCCCATCTCGACTAGTGATGTCTATATTTGTATCATGTTTTAAATCAATATCTGATATAGGTAGTTTTTTCAGCGGGGATAGGTAGGCATCTTGCCATTTTTCAAATTTTTTTATGCGACCATCAACCCCCGAAATTGATATTCAAAAATGCAACTTGCCACCTTAGCGTTTTAAAAATATGAAATCTCATGCTGATCGGGAATATAAATACTTTATGAGATCTCTGATATTTACCAGTACATGTTAAATACTACACTATAGCAGGTCATTCGGTAGTGGGCACAAAATTGAAATAATTGCTTAAATCACTGTTTGCCTCAAAAGATATATATATGTATATATACTTATCGCATTTCCACCGAATGTCCCGACGAGTTATGTCAATGCGGAGGCTATCCAGGGATGGCCCATTGCTATGCACGTTTCATACGAATGTTAGTGAAAGATACACCTTTTCAAATCAGGCGGCCATTAATAGTTGGATACCATGGATGAATGTTTTCATATACGACATTTCAGAATAGTTTAAGATATGAAGTAAGATTGCTTAGTGCACTTTTATGAGCGTTTAAATTGCGAGGATATATACATTTTTTTGTTTTAAGATTCGTTGTTGGTGAGGGGAGATTTCAAGTTTATAACTTTTATATATTATGATATGCGCAACTCTAACATGTTAACGTTAATTATAAATTACAAACAGAAATAGTGAACACATTGTCACCCGTATGTAGTTCGAGTGATGTGAATTTTTAAGTAGACTCCTATAATTCGCTTATGAAAGACGTTATTTTAATGAAAAGAGAAAAAAAATAAAAATAAATAAATAAATA